TAGAAGATTCTGTGATTCTGTGATTGTCCATGTTCAGCCATGGCTTAGCTATATATCCAATGAAAAAGGACATGGACCTGTTGGAGCAGGGCCAGAGGAGGCCATGTAGATGCTGAGAGGGCTGGAACCCCTCTGCTGGGAGGGGGGGCTGAGAAAGTTGGGGGGTTCAGCCTGGAGAAGAGAAGGATCCAGGGAGCCCTCCGAGCCCCCTCCAGTCCCTCAAGGGGCTCCAGGAGAGATGGGGAGGGACTCTTGATGCGGGACGGGAGCCATAGGGTGTGTTTGCTGAGAGGGTGGTGAGAGCCTGGCCCAGGTTGTCCAGAGAAGCTGTGGCTGCCCCATCCCTGGAGGGGTTCAAGGGCAGATTGGACAGGGCTTTGAGCAACGTGGTCTCGTGGGAGGTGTCCCTGCCCAGGGCAGGGGGTTGGAACGAGATGATCCTGTGCTGTTATTAAAGCACCTTCTAGGTGTCACAGCAAATTGTTAAGGGCAGGGGGGTTGGAACTAGATGATCGTGTGCTGTTTTTAGAGCACCTTGTAGCCATCACAGCAAATTGTTTCCAGCTTTCTTAAACCCATACCATGGAAGTACTGGGGACACTTGCAAATCAGTGTGGCCAGATGACACACACGTGCCGAGGTGCCAGGAGGAGCAAAGATGAGATCTGCTGCCTCCCAAGCACCACGTGTCTGTGATTGATGTGATGCTGCTGCAGCGAGGCAGCTGTATCGCTTCCCCGGCTAGATAAGAGAGATTTGAGAGCTTTGGCTTTGAAGTTAAGAGTATTTATATGAGAAGTCTCTTCTGAAACAGCTTTTTGGAGCTCTAATGTGGAGTGATGATAATAGCAACGAGCACAGTTCTCGTCCCAACTGCCTGGGTAACAGGACAGTATGGAAGCTCCCCCCAAAAATTCCGAATTATATGTGGTGTGTGGGTCTGAAAGGAACGAACTAACTGCCAGCTCTGGCTCTTGCTGTGATTTGGGTCAAGCTCTTTTAATCCTTTTAAATTATTCCCTCATATCTGTAAAATCTCCTCCTCAGGGATGAATAATATTTGCTGAGTTCTTAGGAAGTAGCACGCGTCTCCCCAGCTTTATGTGGCCGCTTTCTATCTTAGTTTGTAACTGTAAAACATGTGTGCAGTGTAATGATGTGTAATCGTAATAATATCTATGGTTATTGTTATTATTTGGGGGAAATCACTAGGATTTTTGCAGGTGTTAATGATCACTAACGCTGTGCCTGCCTGGGTGCTGCGGGTGGGGGGTGGCTTTTCCAGAGCCAAAGCAAAATGAGATTCCAGCGGAGAGTTCTCAAAAGTCCTTCGAGGGGAAGAGCTTCCCTTAGAAAGGGGGAGGAAAGTTTCTTTCCATGGTTTGAAAAAAATCTCCGCAAGTTCAAAAGATGTTCTGGAGCAGAGCAGCGGCCCCAAACTCCTTCCTTCCCGAGGCAGAGCTTTACCTTCCCTCTCAAAAACTCAGCTTCAAAACCGAAAAGTCGAGGAATAAAACCCGTCGTAAATAATTACCCACAGAAATATGGTTTCAGCCCCAACGTTCACTGAGCTCACGCAACGCAAGAGGAGAGCGGGGCATTGCCCCAAGAGCAGGTTACACCTGGGTATCTCACCTTGGATGGATTTGATTGCTTTTATCTTATTTTTTATTTCCCTTGGCACTGCAAAGATAGTGCCAATTAGGTGTGAGGTAAAAATGCAGCAGGAATGGTCACGGAGCAAGAGGAGAAGGTTGAAAACAGCTTTAAGGAGAGCAGGAGGGGGTTTGTAGCTGAGGAACTGGAGTGTATTGGCAAGAGCAGAGCAGAGAGGGGAAGGAATAACAAAGCAGCCCCTTGTCTTGTAGTTCTCTGCAACTCCTCAGCATTGCAAGTGCCCAGGAAAAAAAAGAAATCTGCCAAATCTGTGCCGCACGTCTTCCAAGTCTTGATTTTCAGAATAGGGTTCAAAAATTAAAAGTTTAGGGCAGTTTTGGCTTCCACAACAATGAGGTTCAATAAAGGCAAGTGTAGGGTCCTGCACCTGGGGAGGAAGAACCCCAGGCATCAATAGAGGTTAGGGATGGACCTGCTGGAAAGCACTTCTGAGGAGAAGGATCTGGGGGTCCTGGTGGACAGTAAACTATCCATGAGCCAGCAATGTGCCCTTGTGGCCAAGAGGCCAATGGGATCCCGGGCTGTGTAGGGAAGAGTGTGACCAGTAGGTTGAGGGAGGTCATTCTCCCCCTCTGCTCTGCACTGGTGAGGCCACAACTGGAATCCTGTGTCCAGTTCTGGGCTCCCCAGTTCAAGAGAGACAGGGAACTGCTGGAGAGAGTCCAGCGTAGGGCAACAGAGATGATGGAGGGATTGGAGCATCTCCCTGATGAGGAAAGGCTGAGAGAGCTGGGACTCTTGAGCCTGGAGAAGAGAAGGCTGAGGGGAGACCTTATTGATGCTGACAAGGATCTAAAGGGTGGGTTGAAGGAGGATGGAGCCGGACTCTTTTCAGTGGTTCCCAGTGACAGGACGAGGGGCAACGGGCACAAGTTGGAACATGGGAAGTTCCATTCAATTATGAGGAAGAAGTTCTTTGGGGTGAGGGTGGCAGAGCCCTGGCACAGGCTGCCCAGGGAGGGTGTGGAGTCCCCTTCTCTGGAGATCTTCAAGCCCCACCTGGATGCTCCTGAG